TGAAGATTTATCAAAATTGAAGAATCAACACAAATTTGAGGGAAGTAACGAAGAAGAAGAAGAATTCTTTACATATTTTTCGTGTATCAATTTCAGCGATGATGATGCTTTATGTAACTCACTGTATCATTTAGAAAAAGGAAGAACTTTTAAAGAAAATGAACAGAAATTAGAGTGGAACTTATTTAAATAATTTTGTTAATTAATGAAAGATGTGTAGGCGGATATTAAATCAAGTTTTAAATACGAAGAAGAAGTCAGTGATAAATTTTTAATTTGTTGCGATGAATAATGCCGAAGGTATTTGAAATAAACTTTTCATTATTTCTTGAATAAGATAACGAACTTAAACAAAAGCTACGAAGTTAGAGATTTTTCAAGCTTTTTGAATGTCAATAATATAAATATTTCTGTTTCATGTACTGATTTATCTTAAATCAAAGTTTCAGAGCTTTAGATTTGGATACAATGTACAATTCGTAGCTGTAAATTGTAGTTTAATCAAAAATAATGTCAAAAAAAAATCCAAAACTTAAACGTTATTCAAAGAATCTTTGGAAGCAAAAACGTAGCCTGGAATTTGCAGAGGGGGGGGGGGAATAATGGAATTTTCTGGATGAAAACATTTGGAGGGGGGTTGTATTTTTTTCAGCAAAATCCTGGAAACATGAAGAAATTTCTGTGGGATTTGTCTCACAACCATGGTCCAACTCCCATCCCCCCCCCCCTTCCTAAGGAAATCCTTTAAGGAAATAAAAAGAGTGTGATTATGATGATTAGTTCCTATTGATCCACTGTGAATCGTAGGGCGTTAATAAAGCGGTTGAACAGGTTTCTGTCCCTGGCTATAACAGCTACTTCTGCTAGTTTCTTTTGTTGTTGTTCTGCCTCCTTCTCTACTGTTGTACGCCAAGTAATTTTCCGCCTGCCAATACTCCGTTTTCCTTTAACGTTCCATAACAGTGCCTGTCAAATGGATGATGAAATGATCAAAAAATGATCTTAATGTAATTTATCAGTTCCACCCCCTTGGAAATATTAAACGATTTGTTGAAAATTCCAAACTTTTTGTTTCAAAACATAATTTATTTAGCAAACAAAAGATCAATTTTCAATGAAACAATAATATTCGTTACCATAGTCAATCATTGAGATTGTGCTTTTTAATAAATTAAAATAAATTGCTGTCAAAGTCAGGAGTTATGAATTTTCATAACATTACCACAGGCAAAAATCATGTAAGTAATTCAATTTTTTTTTTCTGATCCAATTTCCAACAAAATACGCAAATAAATTCAGTAAAAAAAAATATTTCAAAGGATTTTATCGCAAAAAAAGGATACGAATGACATGATATGCCACTCAACAAAAAAACATTTTATTTTCTTTTTTTTCATATTTCTCCTTCGTTTGACTTCAGCAATAACAGCACAAGAATTGTAAGCATTTGATGGGTGAACAACAAAACATGGAAAAATAAGAGGAAATCAGCTTCGCTACCTTCTTTATAATACAATTCATTTTGTGTGTCAAAGCTTTCAAAAGTGCTATTGATGCCACCGAGAATCACTATTGTTGTTGAGGGGAAGCTGACATAACGAAGATACAAGTTTAAAAAGTTGGAAAAAACTGAGGATTTGATTTATAGAAAGCAAACTTAAGGGTTGTTGTAAAATGATGTGACCACTGAGTAATCATGAAGGGAGAGTTCCTAGGTGTCAAGAACCCACCATTGAGATTGAAGCTTTAGTTAACGGATGTAAAATATTCCAAACCATTACACATTTTTAAGCTATGCCACAAACCAGCTACGCCTTCGAGTTGATGGGATGTCTATGATTAGGTAACAGTTTCATGGCATAACGTAATAAGTGAAGGGCCCCAATAGTTTTTTTTGACTTTCTTGCTGTCTAGAATCGTGGTTCTCAAACTGTGTGTCACGAAACAAATTGGTTGCTAAAATGGCGCTATATTTTCATGTTTTATGACTTCAAAAAGGTTTAGGGTCGTTCACTTCTGACATCCGAAATTAACGGTCATTTTTCAAAAAAACAATAGATTTCCAGGAATTTCTTTTGTTGTTTTTTCTTGCTTACCCTCTCGATGGACGTAATAAATGTACGGCCCTTTTAGTGTACCGCGAGACTAAAGTCGTCGGTCTAAGAAGTCGTTTTTCGCGTTACGTAATAAGTGAGCAGCCCTATTCAGGTTTTTTAAAAAAAAATTATTTTAAAAAAATGTAACGTGGACCAAAAAAGTTTGAGAAACACTGGTCTTGAAGATAAGTGGAAGCAAAACAATGACAGCTGGTCAAAATATTTTTTATATATTCAAAACTTTGTATCATGCAAGTATCATGTAACTTCTAAGAATCAATCCAGAATCAAACGTGACAACAAGAGCTGAAGAAGAAAAGCGTAAAAGATGTTTTGAAAGAATTTCTTTTCCTTCATCGTTTTGTCATTGACACATTTCTCTCGATATCCTTATCACAACTTCTCTTCCTTATGTAATATATAAGGGAGAATGAAAAACACATATTTTTTCTCATGTAATGGAATGGAATGTAGCGAAATGAAGGCGTGAAAAAGGAAAAGAGAGAAAAAAAGTTTGGTTATTTTCGCAAGTAGAAGTTCAATCTTCTCACCCCTTAACTGGAAATTTCCGTTTTTTTTTTCGAGAATAAATGTAAATTTGCTTTTAGTTTGTCCTTGTTAAATGGAATTAGAATTCGGTCAAGGTGATTTTTTTGGGGTATTTTAGGTCATTTCTGAAGGTCAATCTTAAAGCATTATTTGGAATAGTTTTAAAATTCTTGATTCTAATGCCTTTAAATAGTCGTGTGAATTTTTATAAATTTTGTAATGTTGACTAATCATTAAGAACCTAGCGTAATGCTAAGATTCGAACCTACAAACCTTACTTCCTTCCAGCATTTTTTCAACAAATCAACCTCTTAAAGTAGTCGACCTATGCTAATAAACACAACAACTGCATAATGCGCCTCCTGTCTAAACGTCCTAGCCCCTCATATCCATTTTCACATTTCCTTCCGTCTTCACACGAACATAAAAATAATATCGTAATAATAAAAAAACAAGATCTTACTGCAGAATCACAGCATGAATGTAGAGTACTACTTTTTCTATAAATGCTTTTTCAATCTACAAACTACAGAGATACTTAAATGAGGATTAAAAGCAAACGTAGCAAAAATTTAATGCACAAAATACAGGAAAAAGTTTGAGCATATAATTAAAAAAAAATTAAAATAAAACAGCCCGAGGTTGTTAATGAAACAATTTTTTATTCACACGTACTGATACTTAAATGATATTGTTGGATGTTTTTCAACATTTTCCTGCTTTTGGCTACATTCGTGTTTAACATGATTTTGTTTTGGGAATCGAGCACCTTTAATGTGGATTTAGGGATCATGTTGTTGTCTGGATGAAGAAAAAACATGTTTTGGATTATTGTAGCTTGTTTTGATTATTTTTTGGTGGTTTGTGGACCCGAGCGTCATAAATAGCAAAAGCTCAAACACTGATTAATAAAAGGCTCTATTACAATTATTAATTGAGAACAAAAGTTGCTTCTGAATTGCTTCTGAATTTTTTGCATGTTGCTTTCACGTTGGTTTTACGTTGCTGCCACGTTGGTGTTACGTTGCTGCCACATTGGCGTTACGTTGCTGCCACGTTGGTGTTACGTTGCTCCCATGTTGTTGCCACGTTGTTGCCACGTTGCTATTGTATTGTTTCATTGTTCTTCTTTTGTTGCTTGTGTGTAATTTTGATGTTGCTCCAGTGTTGCTTCTGTTTTACTTCAATTATCCTTCCATGTTGCTTCCGTTTACTTCAATGTTGCTCTAGGGTTGCTCTATTGTTGCTTCTGAATTGCTCCATAAAATAACGACTTGAGATTTTGTCATTTGTGTCGCTCGGGAAGTTAGCTTTAATACCATCACTTATTTTCCTCATATCCACATCCTGCTTTGAACAGATTATTTAATTTACTAATTTTATCTCGAAAAAATGAAAGAAAATTATCTCCAAAGCTAAGCTTAATTTTTCTTCCTTTAATTCCACTACGAAACAAATAAAAGTGGAAAAATATTTTCGTACCAAACAAGATTCCAGTTCAAGCATCAAATCTTTTGAATTAATTCAGTTCAAATGAATCTGTTTTCACAAAAGTTAAATAGAAGAAAATCTGCCCCACACGAATCTTTACAATTTTAGGATGAAAACAATTTTTTGCCGGAAAACCCGTAGCTGAATACGATAAGCAGAAGCATTTAAGATTGTTTTTTCGTTAAAGGTGTTGGTTTTAATAGAGTGACATTCCTGTTCGCATTTTATCTGATTGTCTGTTAAGGGGGAAAGAATATGGTTATTTTTGATGATGAGGAGATAGCTGGAAGTTTTAAAAGGGAAGGGAGTGCGTGTATGCTGAAATGGAGAGAATGTCAAATACTGTTTAAGTTTTAATACTTAATCTTAGCAAAACCGATCTTGGGATCGAACCTTGGCATCAAAACTGTTCACTTGACACTTCTGTGAATCATAATAATTACATATGAAGCTCATAGGGCTTGTTCTTGCTAATCTACCAACATACGACTAAATTAAAATTCATTTAAATGCGTCCATATCACCAGCTTGTTAGTCTCAGCTCAACAATTTTAAATGCTGGTAATGTTGTCTTACACATAATAAGAAATCAAGAAAAAGTAACAAGAAAAGTGATAAAAAAATTATATTTTAATTAATCCCAATAGAGCCTATTTAACATTTGAGCTCGCGTGTTAAAATTTTTTAATTGAATTTCCGGACTTAAAGTTTCGTATTTTTGGCATCAAAGGAGATGAAAATAAAAGACTTTTTAATTTGACATGATGGCATAATACTTACCCCGCTGTTAACTTCCAATTCTTCTTTCTGTACGTGAAATCTAATTTTAATATCAAATTTCTCTTCCTACATGTTTATTCACAGAACGAGGTGTTTAAAGGAGATCCTAATCGCAATACAAACAACATCAACAACAACAATAGCAACAGCATCGTTGGTGACGATATAATCCCACCGAATTTTCCGCCACCTCCAAAGGCAGCTCATCTACAACGTAGTGCGTCTGTTACGAATAAGCATATATCAAATCCAGTGATCAATCAAAATGAATTTGCATCTACTCGACCAAATGCTAACACATTGAGCTCAAACAAGCCTGATTTGTTTAATTTCACCACTAATAATACAACGGGTATGATGGATGAGAGGATGTCGACAGTAAAAACTAATAATCCTGGAGAGATTAACGCAAATAACTGTCAATCATCTAAACTAGCATATCCATTATTTTTCTGTGACGAGCAGAGTCGACAATTGTATAATGCAGCACAAGGCGATGAGAAGAATTCTGTTTATTTTTATCATCATGAGCCGCCAACGTATTTACCAAATTATGACAATATATCATCGAAATATCCTGACAAATACAACACTTTGCCACCGGGCAATGAATGTACGGCTGGAATTTATCCATTACAACAATTTAATATACCAATCACCAAAGTTCATTCGAGTACATGCAATTTGAACAATCAATTTAATTCATCAAATTTAATTAGCAATCATCATTTCTCGAATTCACTCAATAACTTCAACATGATGGATACACAGCTACAAAATTATTACAACTTCAATCCATCATTTACACAATTACCGCAATCGCGCGGTGCCGCTCCATTTGGAAGTTCATCAATTATCGGTAGCTCATTTGCCTCAAACATTAGTCTTAATGGAACACCAAAGAATCCAAATATGCCATGGAAACATCGGCAATGTTCTAGTCGAAGCAGCAGTTCGGGAACAAATTCATCAAGTGAGTGTGTTGTTTATTCAATTTAATTTTGGAATAATGAGTGGGTTTTGTGAGAGATTTCTTGGAAATAATTATGCTAATAACTAGCATATGGGTGCGTGTTTAGCAGGGTTGACAATCTGGTTCTAGATTTACATATTTTGGGTTTTGAAAGGCAGGGGCGTAGCCAGGAATTTGAAGAGGTGGACAAAAATATTTACATGAACAATTTAGGAGGAGGGGGATTTTTAGGATTTTCTCATAAAACCCCAGTAAAATGAAGAAATTTCTGTTAACGTAGGGGATCGGTCACTCGAATCTTCCCACCCCCCACCCCCTCCTCGGCTACGCGCCAGGTTGGTGAGTAAGTTGAAAGATTGAAAGAAACACAAATCAGTGCTTATTCATGGAATTCATCGATATTTCTTTAAATAGTGGCGTATCTACGGAGCTGTATTAAGTATCAAACTCACCCCCCCCCCCCCTCCCCCCAACCTACCCACGCCTATTTGCTTCAGAACAAAACAAACAACCTTTACTACTTACTTTAAATGAGGCTTTCACTGATATAAATGATGCCTAGTTCAAAACAATGGGGTAGTTGGAGCCATAACCCCCCCCCCCCTTATTTCATCTCTGCAAGATAGGTTTACAAGATATAGTTCCATGCTTTGAGTCAGCTTATGTCTGATTTTAGGAGATCACATACCAACCTTGGTTATCGTTATAAAGCTTGTATCAGCTTATGTCTGATTACAGCAGATAACAGTCATACCAACCCTGCTTCCTGTTATAAAGCCAGTATCCAATTACTCATTCTTTATTCCAAGAATAGCTTTTAACATGTTCAATTTGATATGTCAAATGCATATCGATTACCTTTTGGGAAGCTGCATAATCAACTTTTGTTGAATAATTGAGTGATTAAGTGAATTTCAATTAACTTCCATTATTCATGGTAAAATTATCTAGAGCTTAAAAATTTCACACAAAACTTTTGAATTTTTCTCACTAAAACAAGATTGATGTTAAGCACGTGTCCATGAGAAAGCTTTTATTTTCTCTAGAAGCGATTTCTTTTTGTCTCCCCTTTACATAGTTATGAGGGTTTTATGCAAATTATTTTTTCATGCTTGCTTTCACTCTCTGCCTACTCTCCACGAATACGATAGATGATCGTCATCTGAATTTACATAAAATGAAAATGTTGTTGCTTCCTTTTTTTTATGTGCTGTATTTTATTTTTTTTATTCTGAAAGGATAAAAGGAAACATAACCATCAGCAAAGTATTCATAAATCCTTCAAAATTTCTGACATAGAATGTTGCGTGACATAATTTATAGATAAATCCACCCGCTCCCCTGTTGAAAATAAGAAAAAAAAATGTTGAAACTTTTTGTGCATACAAAGTATGTTTAGATACTTCTCCTGGCCAAAACTTTCTCACCCAACTAATGAGATAAAAATGTGAACGGATGAAAAGTCACAGTATTTGTGTCATACAATCATGAATCTTACTTTTTTTTGGTCGTATTCACATTCAACTGAGAGGAAATCAAAGTTTTCATTTGAAGCAATAAAACCTGAAACCACAAAAGTATCTCTAAAGGAACTTTACTTTATTGCATGTGAAATATATGTAGCACAGGAAGAACCTAAATTATCAGAATTATTACAGTTAAGCTTGTTTGTTTGTAGGATGTTGGGGTGTTATCAGAATTGAGAGAATCTTTGTCAAATTTACAAAAATTATTGATTATCATTGATGCTTTATAATTATTGAAAGATCCTTAACTTCTGAGAATCAACCCAATGTCCTCACAAAAGAGAGGGCAACAGAACTTCGGTCTGAAGGCAAATCACTAGGCTAGAGAGACCTAATCCTTGTAGATTTTTCCTTGGCTTTCTTGCTAGTTGACTAGCTGCGCAGCTGAATAGCTTGCTTGCTGAAATTGGCTCATTGCTGGCTGAATGGCTGGCTAGCTTTGGAATGAAGTTATAAATTTCTAGTTTAATGACTAGAACTTTAAAGAATCTACAGTTAATATATCCAAAATAATAGCATCAAAAGGTTAACTTTCAACTTAATTTGATTCTCGGATGGAAAGCTAGAGCCTCTAAATCCTAAGTTCTATAGCAAATACCTCAAAATCTGTCCAAAATTCCCTCAAAATTTTAGACATTTTTTTATTCCATCTTGTCATACTTAACGAGGAAGCACACTAGTTAAGATATATAGATAAAATTTAAAAGACTAACTTCTTCGACATTTCCACATGTAGCTAGCAGTTTTTAAAAAATAATTATTAAAGGAAGCAAGAAATACAAAAGAAACTTGCACAAGTCGACTACTAAGTAGTTCAAACTAGCTTCACGTGATGTTGTTATGTGCTTCTAACTACATTTCCCAACTGATGATGTTTTATTTAATTTTTCAATAAAAGAAACTTTCTCTCCCTTCCACTTCCTTTATTTTTCTTTCTCTTATTCCTTTTTTTGTGAATATAAGAACACTAGGGAATCACCATAAAAGCATTTCACCTAATTTTCATGTTCAAATATTTTGTTTCTTCTGCATCGTTTCATTTTAAAACATTTTTCTCCCTTGTGGTTTTGCTCATAAAAGCATTTTTATTCTCGTTCTTTTTTTTAACTTTAAAAAGGGAAAAGGAAAAATGAAAAAAAAATTCTTTTTTATAGCAAATACTCGCTTTTATAGTTTTAGCGCATTTTTGGAAGCATATATGTTGGGGATTATGCATTTATGTTGATGGTTTAGAAAGGATTGATATGATAAAATGCGGAAATATTTTAATTAAAATTCTAGACTCGCATAAAAATTGATTTTACTGAATTTATTGAAAAATCAATTTATTTATTGATATTTTTGAAGAGGAACAGACAAAATTTATTAATAGGTGACATCCGAGTGACTGTATGGTTTGAAAATTGTTTGTGAATTCTCACTTTTAATGCTCAAAAATTACAATTAAACCTATGCTGTCCAACTGCGCACTTTTGAACGGGCAGAACCCGTTTTTGAGTATAGTTCCACCTAAAGATGCGCCACAATTCCATCCCTAAACCCTTCCACTTCCAACTCATTCCTTAGCAAGAAAGTAAAGCAAACTTTTTTTTTTCCTTTTAGTTCAACAATTTTTCTTCCATTGCTACAAAATGAGTAAGAAAGTCATAAACAGTAAACATAAGAAAAAAAATTCTTTAAGTGCATTTGAGACTTACGGGAGAATCCTTTTATGCGTTTAAAGTGGAAAAAAGGCAGATGTGGAAAAATTTTTATTGCTTTAAAGCTGTCATGAAGAAGAAAATTTCTTAAAGTTTCAAATAAAAGGCAAAAAAAAAATTGTTGAAATGGAAAAAAAGGAGACCAAAAGGTTCAATAATTTTAATGCTTCCATAAAGAAAATTTTCACACTTAAAAGGGAAAAAAAGAATCTCTCTTGAAGTATCTTAAGAGGTTAAGAAGTGAACAAAAATCTCCATCCTAATTACATTTTAATTATTTTCTCTTCTCATCTTCAATGCACTGGAAAAAAATAATTTTTTTATTTTATTGAATCGATAGAATGGGATCTGCCATCTCGACAATGGTTGGCATTAACATCAATTCTTTTGATCGCTGGAGCTGCAAGCGTTGCGGTACCATTAGCTTTAAGTGTTACGGCAGGTGAGATTATTTTTATCTGAATGAAGATTATGAAGATTTCTTTTTATAATGAAATTTTATTTAAAGGTTCACCGTTCGACGAACGATATCAAGCAGCAATTACACTTCTCGAAACAGTGCCTTTAATCGATGGACATAACGATCTTCCGTGGAATATTAGGAAATTTATGCACAATCAAATTAATGAATTTCGGTAATTACAATTATTTTAATTGTTCTTGACTTAACTTTCGCTGCTTTATCTACAATTTAAGGGCTATGTACGTTCTCAATAGCTTTACTCATTTTTAATCTACAGCATATCTAATTATCCAACTACTTTAAAACTTCTGAACTTTTTTAATTTGCAATTTTTGTTCATTAACTGTTATTATTATGACTCAAATTAATTGCAATTGCTGAATATCAGCAGTTTTTAATAGCACCCTGGATATGCTGATTTTTCCCTGATATTAAAATTATCAGAAATCAAATTTACATCCCCCAAATGAAAGCGAGACTGTCAATTATTCCCATTTGCCCATTATAAAATTTGACATTCCCGGTTCATCCTAACTTCCTGTCATTCCAATCATTTCTATTTTAATTTCATACAAATAACAAAAATTTTATTCGAATTTTATTTTCATATTTCCACTTTTATTCATGTCACATCAAATAAACGTCGAACTTCCTGCAACAAAAAATATAGATTCGACGAGGATTTAAAAACAATTGCACCTTGGGCCAATTCGCCATGGAGCCATACTGATTTACAAAGACTGAAACGTGGTCGTGTGTCAGCACAGGTAAGTCATTGTAATTTTTGTAGATGACAGCTCACTTCCTCTTTCATTATTTCACATGACATGATAATGACGACAGGACGAGAGATATACGAAATTTTGTATAGTCGTAGAGTAGCATCGTTAACATAGAGCACAACACAAAAAAAAATATATATGGCAGGAAAAAGGAAGTAAAAAATTGGATAAATGAAAACAAATGAGAGTTGGGAAATGTTTACGACAACATTGAAGGCATAAAATTACGGGCATGTTGCTTGTTATCTAATCGGTCTTTTATCGTTCTCACACGTATACGCACATGCACACACCTTTTTCAACACTTAATTTGTAAGCTGTGAATCATATAGAATGGTCACACAATTTTTTTTTCTTTTTGCCTGTTACAATATACGTCTTTAGTGCAAAGGTGATTTTGACGGGAATTTTTTTTTGGGATATCGGCTTTCATTTTGTCTTCCTTCCTGGGAAGTTTACTATTAGGTGCTGCTGAATTTTGAGATATTTTTCGAGAAACATGTTTCACTATCATATGGAACTTCTTAAAGAATACATATTGAGAAGAGGGGTAGTGTAGGATCAAGTTGATGAGGTGATGACATGTTACTTTTCTTTTACCTAGTCAGGGCGAAGATATAGCTTTTGTAAGCGAGGGTTCATTTTTGTTAAATTTTTGTTGACTTTTTTGTTGCTGCTCGTTTTGCTTTTCACTTCTCTTTAATGACCGACATCTTAATCAATCCCAAGTTGACTTGCCGTACGATCAACGTCAAGTTGATTTGCTGCACTATAAAAGTCAAGTTGATTTGCTGTACTATCAAAGTCAAGTTGACTTGGTTTACAATCAACGTCAATTTTCTTTGATCTATGATCAATTTCAAGTTGAATTGCTGTACGATCAACTTCAAGTTGACTTGATGGACGATAAATTTCAAGTTGACTTGCTCTAATATCAATGCCAAGATGACTTAATGTGTGATCAAAGTCAAGTTGATTTGCTGCACTATAAAAGTCAAGTTGATTTGGTTTATAATCAACGTCAATTTTCTTTGATGTGTGATCAATTTCAAGTTGAATTGCTTTACGATCAACTTCAAGTTAAATTGATGTACGATTAACGTCAAGTTATCTTGAAACATTCAAATATTTAATCCAGGAAGCTTAATAAGATCCAAAACTTGCAAAGTTTTTCCCACAAATATCTCAAATATTTACTCAAAGAATTTCTTAACTTGAATTTACTTCTTATTCATCTGCCAAAATAGAGAGTGAAAAGAACGAGACCAGAAAAGGATATGTTCATGCCTACCATGTTCTGGTGAAGGAATAGCATAAAGAATAAATAAAACAAGCAAAAAACGAGAGAAACAAATATAAATAACGATGCTAGTAATATCTATGAAGCCATAAACGGTAAAATTTGCTAGCACATAGAGGCACGATATGATGTCGATAACAACGAAAGAGAAAATGGGCGAAAAATTTATTTTTGTGAATGGTTATTTTATGTTTGTTATGTTCTCAAGAATGTAAATAAATTTCAATATCCCTTCTTTTTGTTTGGCTTGTTACCGTCGTCGCTTCCTCAAACCGTCATTCCTTTTGTCATTTTGCCCCATCACATTTCCTTCTTTTTTTCCATACCATCCTATTAAATATACATCATATTACATATATGATATGGCGAATGGCAACATTCTTCAGTAATTTTATAGCAATCGTGTCTTCCTTACCATCTCTTGTCGTTGTCTCATGCTTTACTTACATATATTTTACATGGATATATAAAAATTGCATACATATTGCTTCCACCGCAGAAAAAAAAAAGACAATAAAAGAGATTGGGACAACAAAAACCGCGATATACTTACACTCTGTCGTTTGATGTAGTTACTGCTTTTATTAAAATATTACATGATGGGATTTGTGATGGAAACGCTCTTGAACTGTGATTTTATTGATATTCTGTGAGCTGAAGTGGCTCGGTGGCGGAATGGTTTAGTACTTCGGTACCTAATTATTGCAATACCGACACAGCGATCATGGGTTCGAGACTGGGTATGAGAAATTTTTCACTTGTTCTTTTTCGAATCATATGTACTGGAAATGAGGCTCACAGCCTTCCTTTGTAGGCTACAGACAGAAATGTCATCAAAGGAGTGGTTCGGATCCCACTATAAATTGTAGGTCTAGGTTTGAGTGCAGTGGTTTGGCGCATCCTCACTCGTTAAACTCTCATTAGCTGCGAATCGCCCTAGCGCACCTCTGGATCACAATTGATCTGAATAGGTAAAGGTTTTTTTTTTTTTTTTTTTTTTTTTTTTTTCTGTGAATTTTTAAACTATGCAGGATGACTGACTGAAGGGTTTGGAATAGAATAGAATTTAATCAGATCTGAAGCTGATTTTAACGCTGTCTTGTGTTTTAAATTAGAATCCTGAGTTTAAACTATGTGAGCTTAGAGTCTGAGCAGGCGCGTAGCTAGGAGGGTCTTGCCCCCCCCCCCCCATTCAAACGTTTGAACTGCAGCGAGAGCACTGAGTCTGAGGATTATGAAACACAAGAAACATCACTGTACCAGCTTCAGAGTTCAGACTGACTCGTCCCAACTCCCCAAAAATATATTCCATACAATTTTAATTAAAAACTATAATTAATGCAAACAAACCTTACAAGTCATCAGGATTATTTCTACATCTATTGATTTTCTTTCCATCATCAATCATGATTGATGGTGCTTGATTTAATAACAGAGCATCCATGTCCATTTCACGTTTCTATAATGAATATTATTTCTGTAAATATACCTTGCACGCGCTCATATCAATTACGCCTTAAAGGCATTTACTTTACCTAGATCCATCATCAAAGAATAGACAAAATGATTTTTAGAAGCAACAAAAAAAGTCTTTCTTCTTCTTTTAATCCTAAAAGGACAGTCAATCTTGCAAAATGTGAACAATAAAGCCCACTTGTCATGATAAAATTGCATGCCAAGAAGAAAAATAGGAAGGCAAGAGAAAAAGTTATAAAACATATTTGTGTGTCTGATGATGTTATACGACGATTCATAAAAAAATATTCCATTACAATTCTTTATCGCATATATGTAATGTATGCGCGTGCAGATATGAGCAAAAAAAATTTTCCTTGCCTCCTTTTTTTCTCTCTCGGAAAAAATTCTTTTATCTTTTTTTCATTTTGTTGTGCTTAAGAATGCGTAAAAGCTTACAAATAAAAGATGAGAATCTGCGGCAATGGTTTGGCTGAATATGCAGATGAATTCTTAAAAAATAAAAAAATTTAGATTGTATTTTTATGATACAAAAAAATTCCAGCTGTTTACAGTCTTGCGGGCGATTTTCTCATCCTTCATGTACAAACGAAAAGCCTTAAAAAATAATTCAACCATTTTAATTTCTCATAATAAAATTGAAATTTATTCACCATTAAAATTTTTACAATTCGACAATTGCTTCTTGTTGCAATATCCGAGCGGCACAAGATGGTTTGTGGTAGTGACATGTCTGTCTAGAAATCAGTGATGAATTGAAACCACCTAACAGCAATAATATAACCATTAATCAACCATGTGACATACAAGAGTCATTCATGAAACAATCATTAAACAACCGTTTGACACACAAGAGACAATCATTAGAGAAACATTATGCAACAATGTGACATTTATGACACAACAATGCGACCGTCAGAAAGCAATCAGTAGACAACCATGTGACATTTATCACACAACCATATGACATTCATGACACGACCATCAAACAGCCGTATGTCATTCTTTGCACAATCACCAAATAACCATGTGTCACACAAGAGACAATCATTAGAGAACCATTATGCAACAATGTGACATTTATGACACAACAGTGCGACAGTCAGAAAGCAATCAGTAGACAACCATGTGACATTTATCACTCAACCATATGACATTCATGACACGACCATCAAACAGCCATATGTCATTCTTTGCACAATCACCAAATAACCATGTGTCACACAAGAGACAATCATTAGAGAACCATTATGCAACAATGTGACATTTATGACACAACCATATGACATTCATGACACAACCATCAAACAGCCATATGACAGTCACGAAACAACCATCAAACAACCATGTGACATTCACGAAACAATCACTAAGCAACCATGTTACAGCCTATCATGATGTGCTACTCGGTCCAAAAAGCAACACAAAAAAGTAATTTGAGATTTATTAATGGAATAAATTTTAATGTAAAGTGCTTGTAAATTCCGAGAAGTTTTTATGCGGTATCAGAGAGCATAAATGTTTACTTATTGTAAATATATTTAGGTACACACCTGATAAGTATACAAATTTATATTTCTCGTGCCTTTTGTTGTCTCAATCAAACTGTACGTGGGTTTTTGAAAAGGATCTCAACGAAGCACTAAATTAGTTGCGAATAAAATCTTGTGCCATTAATTATGTCTACCAAGATTCTTAATTGATTATTTTATTAAGCTTGTGGGTGTTTAAAGGTAAAGAAGTCTATTTCGTAAGGGAAATTCGCAAGACTGAAACATTAGAATTTTGGTTGGGTATGCATTACTTAATTAACTATGATTGTGACTGAATAAATATTTTGGGATATTTTTGGTGACTTTAAAGTGATATTTGAATGATTAAAGACTGGCTCGAGATTGCCCAGACCCCCTTCATCCGAAAAAAATTGACATCATACCAGAATGACTTCTCAGAAAAATAATTCACAATTTCAACAAAAATTATTTTTTTAACGGTCAACAGCATGTTGGCAATGTTTGCAGAATTGTACGACAAGAAACAGAAATTCTTACTTTTGTCTCTGACATTTTACACTGTTCTTAAATTAGAACTGACATTTCTGCCTCACAAGTTTCTACTTCAACGAAAAAATACTTTAATTGGAAAGGAGCATGAAGAAGAGCGATGAACTTTCAAATAAACATAATTTAATGAAATTAAAGAAGTTGTTTTGCATAAAGTTGCACTGTTAATCCTGCTGAATAGCTCATTTAAAGTTCATTATGAAAAATACCTTTCAACATTTATTTTAAAATGAAAATAACAAGCATTTAATTTATAACTTTCAAGTTGAATTATATAAATTTTAATTAGAATGCTGACTACTTATAGAACTTTTTAAATTGTTTACAAACTTTTGTTCCGTTGAAGAAGTTTAAGATGTTTTTATTGACTTCATGCTGAAAAAACTACAAAAATAAATAAATAAGAGTAGCTTATTTATTATTATTAAGATCAAATATGCGGAAATGATAAAGTACATTTTGATCTTATTTGGATTTTTTTAAGCATTTTTGATCATTTTTATCAGTTGCGCACCCTTGACTAAGATTTTGGAGGTGGAAAAGCGAAGAGAAGGTGAGAGGATTTTGATGATCTGTTTGGCAATTCAGAATGATAATTGTAACATTGATTGAACAATTTTGAATCGAACTAAAGATCTCCATTGCTTAGCTTTAAAGCCAGGAAGGATTTTGAGGGTAGAGAGTCCCTCTTTGTTAGGGTGACTATCTGCGTACTTTTTCAACGGACAGTCCTGAATTTTTCAAGCCTGTCCTGTATAAATTTTTAAATTTTGTTCTTGGTCCTGTATTTTTTTCATGAAAATTTCCGTTAATTTTCAAATTTTACTCTATGTCCTGTATTTTTCGAAAAAATTTACCAAATGTCCTGTATTTTTATGAAAATTAGATGGTAACCCTACTCTTTGTGCATCTCGAGGTTCTCTAGACTGCACCTTATATGCTCAATAAATTCAATCTAATTATGCACCTGCTTTTCTCATTTATGAGGGTTCACACGACATTCTAGTTGAGTTTGAGTTCCATCCCGTCTTTACTTGGCAGATAATGAGCATCTGACTAGTTCAGCTTTTCTCAAACTTTTTTTTCCCACGGCGCATTATTTTACATTAAAATTATCGCAGCCCATTAAATGATATTCACGACCATTTTTTTTTTGATGATATTCACGACCATTTTGAAGTCATAAAACATGAAAGTCTAGAATCAATTTTGCGGCACACTAGTGTGCCTCGGCACATAGTTTTAGAACCACTAAACTAAATTCTTTTTTGAAGCACAACCCTGAAATCATCCGACTCAATGAAAATTGAACGTCATTTATAAACGATCCCCAACAAGGGTGTGGTACTGATGAAATGATCAAAAATGATCAAAAACTGATCAAAAATGATAAAAAATGATCAAAAACTGATCAAAATTGATCAAAAATGATCAAAATGTAATTCTTCAGTTCCACACCCTTGATCCCCAATAACTCAATTTGTTAATCAGCCAAACTCTTCAAGAAACAACAAAAACTTTAATTAATAAGTCCTTTCAATTTTGATGCACAAAGTTCACTTTATAAGCTCCTCGAAATTTCCTTTTTAAGTACATTCTATGAATAGAAGTTCTTTAAAAAGCTTTTTCAAGAGTTTTTATTAAGAAACTTTTATTAAAGCTCCTCTAACGAGACAATGTATTCATCTGATTACAGTCGCTTTCGAAAATCTTCTCTTGAGGATCAAAAGAAAACATTTTAATTTATTGCACAAAACTTTCATCCCCAACACGCTTTTGTGTACAAAGCAATAAGCAACTTTGGAGCTCAAAGAATTCTCAAAACAAAATAATTAAAGCTCATAAGATTTAAGATAAATTTTGGTTCTTTTTTTTTATTAAAATTCATAACAATAAAAATAAAATTAACAAGAACGGAACTGAAAGGAAATTTAACAATCATTTTTGTGTCATATTTCTTGTAGTTATTCAATTTACCATAATTGCGTATCGTACTAAATATTTATTGCTACCAAATGACATTATCGTTATATTTAATGATGGAAAATTAAGAAAATCGTTTTCGAAAAAAGAATTTTCACCGCAATTATTGTTCAAATGAATGAAGATGTTATTGGAAATGGAATGATGGGAAATAAATTTTTGGCAGCTCTAGTGAGAAAGCATTGGAAGATGAGAATAGCAAAATCAATGTCGATTTGTTTAAGAGATCAAAATCCTAGCTAAGACTTAATTCTTACAAGAGCCTTAGAGTTTGGTTTCTAGTGCTAGCAATGAACTTCGATGTACAGCAATATACGCTATATCTGTAACATATTCCTGGACAGTACAATTTGGTTAATCGATCAGAAATCCATAAATGGTATGGGTAATTGGCAAACGGGAGCCAGCGATAGAGCCAGCTTCAGGCGCCATCTAAGGGAGGCAATGAATCACAATTGATCTGAATGGCCAGCGAAGAAGAAGAAAGAAGAAGATCATAAATCCGATGTCAAACCGGTGTCAAACTAGTGTGTCTCTGGCATGGGGATGGACTTGATTTAAACCCGGCTCCACGCCAGAGCCTCGCTCTCTTGGTGTCAGATTTTTGATCGATTAACCGATATGTGCTTTTCTGGCTTGTTCTCCTGCTTGTTCGGTCCCTCGTAAGCAACATCAGCTTCATTTGAAATCAACACAGAATTTAAGAATAATTTGACTTGTTTTGTGTAAAGTAAGCCATTGAATCTAAATCATCTTTAAGTTTCTCTTCAAAAGAAAGCCTCAAACTCATCCTATGCTTCAAATTGTTCCTTATACATGTTCATTTATTACCTAGTAGCTTCCAATACTTATCATGACCTTTCCTTCCATAACAACTTCCAAGAAACATAATAAAAATGCAAGCGAATCTACATTTGACTTTTAGTGA